TTACAGTCAAAGATGAGATAGAGACCCGTAACACGAAGCTACCTAGTGCCTTGCCAGCACATCTGCTCTGGGGAATGTTTTTCATTTTGATCAGAAGCAGCTAACTTGGACTTGGTAACATCTACTGACTCTCACACCAGGGAAGGTAAATCAGGACTCCGACTTGTATTTGCATACAAAATGCCAGATTCTTATCTTGGTTTTGCAATGTACACATTGCCAAGCTCTTCTACAACTGCCTGTAGCCTGTGGTTTCGAGCAGAATGATAGATGTTTTCCAAATCTGAAATCACAGTTTGACCTTTAAGTTTCATGTGTGTTGTGTGCTTTCGTTATTCTTTTTTCCTTGTGACACTCGACAAAGATTTCAGAAAAAAAGTCCCTCTCTGAGGAAATGAGGAAATGCCTTGTAAGGACTGGAAAGGAAGACTGGGAGCCCAGGATTTTGCCTGGTGACTTTCTATGTGACCGTAGTTTATCCACCAGAGGAACAGATGTAATGTTATTCCTGTGGGATTAAGATGAAGCTTTGGGAATGTTAGAAATGTTAGTTTGGGGTCTTCAAAAGCATAAAGGAGGTGATGAAAATCGAAGAGGATAGTGGTGTTTGAAGTGGGAGCACAGAAAAATAAAGTGAGAAGGGAGGGCTTTTGGGAGGGTCAGATTACAAAAGTTTGTGCTCAGTATCCACCATGACATTTCTGGTTCCTACTCTGTAATTCAAAACAGCCGTCCCTTACAGAAATAGACAATCACTGGATGTCCACCAGGCACCGAGGCTTTGCTGAGGATAATTATGATCTGATGAATGAGCTGCATCTCGGGCTGGGCTCAAACAATGGCTTGCCAGGAGCTCTGCCATCCCACGGGGCAGGCGCTGATGCTCTCCAGCTCCTCTGCTATCGCTCTGGCAGAAATCACACATGGTCCCTGCTCTGCCCGAGAGCACGTAGCCTTCAGTAGTTTCTGCAACAGTGGTTACATAAGGATGTTGGGTGATCAAGGAGCAGTCTAATTGGATTGGATGGATCAGCAGTTTGTGGTGGCTGGAAAGCCAGATGCATCTTGTATTGTGCCCTCTCGAAGTGATTAGGTGTGCCCTCCAATGGCCGCTGTTGCTGGCTCAGATCCGTTTGAGGTTGATGGTAGCCAGAGGTTGAAACTGTGAGATGTCCATGAGGGGTGTGTGCTCAGGGAGCCCGAGGAAGCGGTGCTTACCCAACCGTACGGCGCAGTGCACGGAGCTGCAGAGGATGCGCCTCGGGATGAACTCGGCCGCGATGATTTATGGGTCAGCGGGATGGAGGCATGTTGTGATGAAGGGGACTGTCTTTTGCATAGCAGATACTAACAAACTTTGCAAGGCTGGGAACTCCTTCAAACTGCATGAATGAGTTTGCCGATGACTTGCCAAAATATGCTGATTATTCTTTCTCTTATTGCTCGTTGGTTCAATTAGAGATTCAGGGAACCACCTGACTTTCCCGATACGTCCTGCCAACCATATCAGCAGGTAACCTGCCCTGCACCAAGACTAGCAAAACTGCAGGCTGTTTATTACTGTTTGTGTTACAGCAGTTTTCAAAACTCCCTTTTAGGATTGGGCCTCGCTTTGCTCAATAATAAAAACTTTGCAGTGCTGCTTTTACAAAGCATGATGCCTCTCACAGGTGCTTAGCTTGTCTCTAGCTGGATTTTTTTTGATGTATTCTATGTGTTTACTCTGCTGACTTCAAACTTGCTTAGGGCAGAATAATTATAAAATAAGGAGAGAGGGATAGAAGAAAAAAATGAAGTCTTTGTTTTTCTTATGTAGCACCAATCTGTGCCAGCCTGATTTCTAAACAGAAACTTTAAATAGAAATGCATGTTTTGCTTTGATTGAAATATCCCAGAAAAATAAACCAAAGTTATCCCAAAATAGTTTCTGAACTACAATAGCTTGATGAAAGTCTCTTTACAGTATTTCACCATGCTTTGAATTCCTTGAGATTTACCCAGCCTTCTTCATTACCCTCTATAAATGCTGAATCGCTGTAGGACATCTGACAAGATTTAATGCAAAATCTTCACTGTCTTTGGTTCAGGAACTGTGATTTTGGGATGGTCTTTGTGCACTCTTTTCCTACACAGCAACACAGTTTTAGACTTCCACTTTGAATTTTTTTTTTCTTGTGTTGATATGAACCAGGATGTCCTACTGAAGTACATGGAAATGCAGTGCTGTAAAAGTACTATGGAGTCATTCTCACACCTGTGTGTATTTGTTACACAAACATCTGAACGTATAAATCCCTTGTCTGATTATCTGTGCTTTGAAACAAACATTTGAGCACCTAATTCAGCAGTTGTGTTGCATGAGAGCCTGGAGCTTTCTGATTCTGCAGGTTGTTTGATCATTTTGTGCCTTGTACAATGTGCTGCATTAGCTTAACACTGCTTGCCTGGTGAAATGACAGGTGGAAATTTGGAGAATCTGATCTGGGGATTGTGGAGGCCCTTTGGGTGTGTGCACTTCTCAACGTTTGAGAGCACAACATTCAGTCGTTTGGGTCTCATATCTTTAATAACTTCCTGAAACGAATAGAAGCAATTTAGTCCATGCTGAAAAAAAGAGAGAAGCATTTATTTCAGCATATTCTCTTTGTGCAGTGAGACACTACTGGTAAAGCCCCAGTTTAGCTTAGAGAAAGGCTCAGAGGGTTCAGTTCAGCTGCTGTGTGAAGAGGGGTTGGATTCATCCTTATTAATGAAACCAAGACCCAGAGCTTTGAATTGACCCACTGTCTTGCAGAGAATCCAGGATCCCAAGAGAACCAAGCAGCTTTTAACAGTGCTTGTGCTTTTCTGTTCATTCACAGTTTGTTTGTTAGATGTCATTTGCATGAACAGTCAAACAGTGTTTCAGTTCTGTTCCATCAGTGTTCTCAAGCCAAGTTTCCTTTTGGCACACAACAGCGATATGGTTGTTCTGTTACTCAACTATTGTTAAAAGAGGCTTAGGTTAAATTCTGGAAGTTAATGAGAGAGCGGTGTGCAGCAATTTGGATTATGCTTTATGAACTAATTAAATACTTATTTACATGCTTTGTTTACTGTCCTCTATACACAGGAGTTTTTGTTCAGTACTCATTCCATGTATAGGTAATTTACAGCTTATTTCAGCCTTGTATTCTTGATGAGCATGCTCTCTTCCCACTGCACAAAGAGTGAGACAAAGTAATATCCCTGCCTCCCTTGGCAACATGCAAGGGTCTTTTTCCTGGGAGAAAGAATTTTTGTAAAGCAAAATGTGTGTTTATATCTTCCCTCTTTACAATCTGTGGTCGGTAATGGTCCGATGTAAAAGATAGATGTAAAAGTAGATGTAAAAGATATTTTAAAATACAGGAATATAAAGTTAGTCTTCTAAAGTCTTTCTTTAGACATGTAAATAAATTACTTAATTTCCAAAGTTATTGTTTAAAAAGCGGATCTGAACAGATCAGGTAGTTCTACACCGCAACGAAAACAGCGGCCCCTGAAGCCAGTCAGAGCCACAGGCTCCTCACCCACCATCCTCCAGCCAAGGATCTGCTCATCGACCGGTACTGAGCCTGGATCCCGGGCATCCCACAGCGTGTTCCCCAGGTGCCTGGGGAGATGCCCCGCAGGGTGTGAGTCTGCTGCTGGAGCCGTGGCTCAGCCACCCCATCCATACCCATCAGCACAGGATGCTCAGGACTTTTGAAAACTTCCACCAGGCATAAGATCAGGCTCTTATATCCAAACATACTGATAAAATGAATTAAAATTCACTTTAAAATGTCAATAGGGGTTGCTTAGCAAGACCTGCACTGATGGATTTAGTTTTAATGATTTTTACAGAGATAAAAGATGGGCCATTAAAACTGGGGCTGATTGAAGGAACAGGACATTATTTACTGTGTTCCTAATGAAAGGTTTTCTAAAAGTTACTTATTAGCTTGTAGTAATGAATCCATTTTGTAGGAATAAATTAAATTTAGGTCCAGCCAGCAAAGCAGTCCAGATTGGTGCAACCTTTACCAAGGGAAGGATGTTTTAGGAAAGACACTTGCCTTGCAGGGAATCTCATCTGCCTCTTCTAATTTGTAAAGCAAAACTCCTGCCATTTGGCCAGGTCTTATGCAGTCTTCATCATCAAATACCTAAATCATCCTCTTTAACAGTTAATATTTGCCTAGCTTGCTTGTAGCAGTGTTTCCTAAGTGATCATTATACATCCACATTTCATTCTCCACTCCAAATATTTACAGTTTTCTTTGCAGTGTTCCTAGGGTGACATCCCATTTGCGTGTTCAGTTATGTAGCTCTAGTATATTAAAAAAAAAAAAAGACAGTTTTTAGTTTGCTGGCATTTTGTAGCTTTTGTTCTCCTTGCAAAGTTTAACATTGATTAGTTTTGACACACAATAAAGCCAGCCCATGTGGCCGACCATGCTTTTTGCGGGAGGTATGTGCTTTTGTCAGGGTGTGATGTGATGGGTCCCAGATGGAAGAGTTACAGGGTGCAGCTGAGCTGATCCAGCAAATGGCTCTCAGGAGAGAGAGATCCTGTCCCTTTCCCCATGCATGGTCTTGCCCAGAGACCTATTCTGTTTTTTTCTTGGATTACTGTGCTCTGGGCTCCAGAACTGGAATGAGGTAGGGAGGAGCTGGGAATCTTCCTTCTTAGTATGTGTAGGTGCACTATGATATGTGTAAGTCCATTGAGCCTGGCACTTAAATCCCTGTTAATATGAAGTCTCTGATGATGTGTTGATTTAAAATTATTTCCTGAATTATGGCCTGTTGGGAGGCTACAACAGAGTTTAGAGGAGAAAACATTCCCTCTTGCATTGATGGAATTTTCCCTGGTTTGTATATCATCACAAAGTGATCTTTGGCTTAATGACAGTGCACAACAGGTACTGCTGTGTCATTGCTTTCCTAGTTACTTGTTGCCAGCACAGTGCTAAAAGTGGTGAACTCTTTTGCAGGTTAATGAGATTTATCATGATGAGTCCTTGGGTGCTCACATTAACGTTGTCTTGGTGAGGATAATCCTGCTGAGCTACGGCAAGGTAAGTAAAGGTTAATTTAAATGGCGTATATCAATATCTCTGAACTTCGTTCTTTTATGAACAATGTAGTTGCTGGTGACATGTATCGGTTTTGTATTTTAATTCATACATTGTCCTTACCGGTCTATGAATATAAAGGACATCTATGTTTATATGTATTTGTTTATCATTTGAACTTCACATTTCAAATAATTTCAGTTTCTTCTGGGTTTTCACTCTGTGTTTTTAGCACATGTCACTTCTTTGCTGTCCTTACTTTGTAACTATTTCATAATCGTTATGCATGTCCATCTTTAGCTCTATAGATCTGCACCCGTAGTCTGAACTCTGATAACTTCTGTTAATTTTTCTGATGGCAGACAATAGCTATGGTAGACCTCATTTCACCTTAACAATCTATCTTCTTGTGAAGAATAAAGCATTGTCCATTGACAATTTGAAAGTTATCGATTTCATATTAATATTCTTTAGAGAGGAGAGTGGAGTGGGGCATGGAAACCTTCACTTCTTGGTGGGTCTTTGGCCACATCACAAAAATAGCCATTGCGGGTAGCACTCTGTAATCTGCTTGTGGATAGTCTGCTTCTAGATTCTGGATCTGTAATCTGCAGTGGACGATGTTTTAATTCCCGAGTTATCCTGCTGGTTTCAGCAGGGCAGAAAATGGAATAATTCTAGTATCACAAGCTTGCCCTAAATAACCATCAAGATATTTTTTCTTGCGTTTCTGTATCTGATTCCACCTGATGGTGTGGGGGCCTGCATGCCCTGGCTGTGTAAGAATACATTTTTAATTTCATCTTTTTAAAGCTCCTATCAGACGACTAGTATCAGGGAGTAGAAGGTGAGGAGGTTTCTCTTCGGAGGGTTGGGATGATTTAGCAGTGGAAAAGCAGAGAGGAAAGGTGCATAGTTCTTACTTTCTGAACCTGTTCTGAGGAATTAGAACAAAGCCTTCAATATTTTGCTGTCCCACTAAAACACACCAGCACTAACAGTTTTTAAGAATATATATTCAAAGTACATAATAAAAGGAAGGACATGTACAGGTTGAGGCAGTGCATGAATGACGTAGCCTGGTTGGCTTCACAATATGAAAATATTATCCCAGTCTTGTTTGAGTAAACATTTCTTTTGAAAGCCTGTAGCTGATATCTTTAGATTCATTTGCTTCCTTGTAGGCAATTTATATATATTATCAAGGGTGCCATTTAAATAATCATAATAATTACATTATGGTTCTGTAATTGATGAAGTATGTACCATCAACGTCAAGTTTATGACAGCACTCTGAGCTCTTGCCAATTCTCCAACCCTGAACAGCCTTTTACTGTATTGTGGTTTTTTGAAAGAGGATTATATTATTTTATACAATATGTCATATGTTGATAAGAATAATATGGACAATACTTGAGTTGCATAGCAACCAGCTTTCCTTGCTTGAAGGTATTTCATTCCCTGAAATGTCCTTATTTTTTAATATTTTCAAACACAGGCAACTGTGCATTCAAAAGTTTCAATAATTTCCGTAATTTCATTAATTGCCCTGGTAACATGAGAAAATGGAAGATGTTCCTTGGTGATCACATGTTGAAATTACTTCAGGGGCAAATTCGAAAGATCTGACGCTGTTTTATTGAATTAGTACTTTGTGTAATTACCTCTGGGCTTAGACTGAGGGTATGGCAGGTGGAGGAGCCCAAGGGTAGGATGCTGGTGGGCGGTGTGTTTGAGGAGAGGGCAGTGTGTGGCTGCGCTGTGTCTGGGGTAGGTGTGCTGAAGCTATCAGCCCTTTCCGGACTCCCCACTTTTCTCTTAGTACTTCAAACAAATGACCAACACTGTCTGACATACCAGACGGGCTGATGTGAAGGCTTTGACCATGCCTGGCTGCTGCCCGCTCATTTGCCAGTTCCCTCAATAGGACAGAGAAATGCATCCTGCAAAGGCTGCTCTGTATCTGCGGTGGTTTCTGAACCTTCCATGTGTTTCTCTGCATTTTCCTTACATTGACTCCCAAAGTTACAGGCTTTTTTGATGTGATGGGATACTGCAAATAAGTAAACAGGGCGTGTGTGGTGTATTTTTCTTCAAATGGGAAAAAGATGAGCTAGATCGCTTCTGCCTGTTTGACTTCAGTAGTAGGAAGATTGGTTCCAAATTTTGGAAGCTGCGGATACATTTCAGATGAATATAATTCAACATTTGGGCAAATGATTCCATTTAGACCTATTTTGGTTGTAACAGCTCTGTAATCCAGCGAGCTCTAGAGTGCCCAGGGAATAAGCGAAGCAACAACTATCACCAAGTGCAGAGGAGGTGGCAAGAGATGAGCTGAGAATGGATTTTAAAACCCTGACTGGTTATTATAAAATTTGTTTGGAAACATTTAAATCCTGAGCACTGCATAAAATCCTCTCATCACCTCTTTGAGGTGGATGAATAAAGGTTATTATTCCCATTTTACAGCTAAAAAAACAAAGACGTTAAGGGTTATTTTCCAAGGCCACACGGAAGGCCACTGGCAGGCTGGGGATAAAACCTCATAAATTCCTGGCTCCAGCCCCACACTCTGTCCATCGACAATGGTGACTTTGTGTGCAGATGAACTGCCCATGCTCAGCGGCAGAGAAAAGCACACACGTTAGCTGGGATGGGTGTGATTAAGACAGTTATTAAGAAAAAAAAAAAAAAACTTTTTCAGGACCTGCAAGGGTTTCAATAAATGCAGCCACCTGAGGATTTATGAGGGTTATTTCTTGGCTCAGGCATCTTTACTCCCCTCTCAATAGGTGTTCATACACATTGATGAGATCCCCCCGAGCATCCTCTTCTCCAGCCTCTGCTTGTATTAGGTCACTATTGTGAGATTAGTATCTTTAGTTTTCCACTGATGTTGGTAGATGTAGAAGACCTGAAAGTA